CTCGAGTATGAGGGGATGACAAATTTGAAAATCACACTTTTCAAGTGTGAATGGTATGACCCTGTAATTGGTAGAAGCACTTGAAGGAGCAATGGTGGTGTCGTTGACGTTCTTTCATCAAGAAAGTACAACAAATACGAACCATGTATTCTAGGTACGCATGATATATAAATATATAAATTAATATCTAACTCAATAAATATAATGATGATGTATTCATTTTTGTATTCATATTTGTATTCCACAGCCTCCCATAATTGTTTATACAAGTTTGTTATATTCCATATCCATACCGAAAAAAAAACAAAGCAGTTGTGGCTAAACGTCTTAAAAGTGAATCCAAGAGGGAATATTTCAGGACATTATGAAGACAAAGAACCAACTCTCTTGCAACAAGAGAGTGATGATGCTGTTATGCTGACCACAATTGAAGATATCGTTGTTGAAAATTGAGTACACAGAGTAAACCCAATAAATCTCGATTTTGATGTCGGAGATGCAGAACCAGAAGATGAATTTATGTGTAATTTATCATCATCATCATAAGATGAAGAGAATCCTTACTAATCTGTATATGTTTATGATTACAATTGCTGAATAAAATTGTTGTATTGTAAGATAAATTGTGTTTTACCGACTGATTTGCGACTGATATACTACTAAAGGTCCAAAATTTAACCCGCCAATTAAGCCCACCTCTAATCCCATTAACAGGCCCAATAATTAAACCAAGCCCACTTAACAAACCCGATTAACCCTTAATCGCGAGAAATCCCCAAATCAGTCTTCTATTCAACGAACCCTAATTCCCGAAACCCCCAAATCTCCCTTCGAATTGATCCTTTTTCGATCTGATTTCGACCCTTCTAAATCGATTGATAATCCCTAATTTTCAGTTCTAATCGATCGATTTGCTTCTCCTCAAACCTTAAATCCCTAATCTTCGAATCCCATCCCAAAATTCCCAACGAGCATTCTTAAGCCTCTCCTAGAATCTGATGGGTGGTCGTGGAAGGAAGAGACGCGGAGGAGCACGAGGAGGAGCAGCTGTTACTCCCTTACCCAGTCGGTATGAACATCTCCACCACCGCTGGTCCCAACCTACGCGCCGACACATGTCCGAGACTATCCACCGCCGATGGAGCTCTTCCAGAGCTCGCAACAAGGAGTCCCTGAGTCGCAACCACCGCCTCAACCTAGAAGGCCAAAACAATCTCAAATTCGATTATCTCCATCTTCTCAACACTGGTTCCAGGGGCGGAGATAGTGAAGCCGGAACGGGGTCATGTGCCCCTTACTGTTTTTTAATTTTTTAAAATAATTTAGGTAACTTTAAGTAAAATATTTTTAATTTTGTGGTAAAAAAGAAAATATTACCCCCAATTAAAATTTTTTTTTCTTTTTATAAAACTATGCCCCCAACTAATCTTTTTTTTTTGATCCGCCCCTGACCGGTTCTAAGAGCAACCCAATCGGCAGCATTCATCATCACCTCAATCGCTTCTGTAGCTTCTTATTTCTCTCAAAACCGAGCCTCTCCATTATCCCAAGAAGGAGGTAATTCTCCACACTCTCAACAAGCTTATTATGACGGTGAAGAAGCTGCATTTCGAGATCCTTCAGAAGAAGAAGACAATGATGTCAATCTCTCTGAAGACCAGCTAAGGATTCTTAATGCCTTGCTCACGAAGCCTGGGAGAGAGGCTAATACTACAGTATTGTCTCCCATAGAGAAACCGGGTACAACGTGGTAAGTCTACTTCCTCTAGCTTGATTTGTTTCCTTCTTCAAATGATGATCTCAATGACTTCTTCCTTTGTTTTCTTTGTATGTAGGTTTGGTCGTGACAGGTCCTCACTTACCCGGGAGATCACCAAGGTCTTCACCAACAAGTTTGATGGCCCTTTCTACAGCTGGACTCGTGTGCCTCATGACAGACAAGAGCGTTACTTCGTAGAATTCGCGGTAAGATCCTCTTTTTTCATTTATATGTGTTTGTTATTGTGTTTGTAACTATGTATTATTCTAACATCATCTCTTTGTATCTTGCTATTGTAGAAAACCCACACCTGGGACCCCTTGATCACTGGTGTGGTTCAAGCCAAGTTTGAGAGTATTTGCAAAAGTCGGATGAAGGATATGGTCCGCACCGTAAGGACATCAAGAGTGCAACCTAACTGGATCGGCGATACTCTGGGAACAAATGTCTGCACATTGGGACACAGAAGAAGCCAAAGAAAAGAGTTCAACCACTTCAACTGCTCGGTTATTTGAACGTGGTGGTCTTGTTCCTCACTTTCACTACTCAGGTCAGAAATCCTATCTGAAAATCCAGCAAGAAGTGGTAACTTTCTCTTCTTTTATTATTCATGAAGTGTTAGAGTCGTAGGAATATGATTAATAACTTCCCATTGACATATTTTGGTTTATCATTTCAGGAAGAGGAATTAGGTAGACCGGTGGGTCTTGGTGAAGTTTTCATCAAGACTCATACATAAAGGATGGGAGTTATGTGGATGGAAAGGCAAAGAGAGTGGCTGAGACTTACCAGAAAAACTTGGAAGCCAAGTTGTCTGCCATCAGGACTGAAAACTCAGAGAATCCCGAGGGTACATCACCTCATCGAGGGCTAACTATATAAGAGGAGAATGACTTGTTTCTACAGGTACGATTCTATTTTCTTATTTGGTTTTTTTTTTCTTCTCCTTTGATTCTAACATAGTTTGAGTTAAAGAATCATATGTCTGACTCTTTTTTTGTATTCGCAGTCCACTATTATGAGTAAAAGAGGAGTACCGTATGGAGCTGGTAGCCTCTCTAACTTGTATGTAAATGGCAAGAGGAAGTACCCAGGAAGCCATGCATATATCTTACAACACTCTGCAGGCACAGCTTCAACAACCTCAACACCAAATAGAGCTACAAGCGGCTGAGAATGCAAGGCGTGAAGCAGAGTTTGCCAAAGCTTCAACTGTGCAAGAAGCCAAGCTCGAGAAGCTCACGATGGTTGAAAGGTACTTGACTCAAACTGATCCATGATTCAATGATTTTTTGGCTAGTCAAACTCCTCTATCGACCACTCCTGCTGCAAAGTCTACCACTCCAACACCTGCTGATCCGAAAACTAATGTAACTCAAACCTCAAATACCACCTTAGAAGAGTAGGTCTCTTCTCACCATTTTTTAGAACCGTAGAACTGTTTCATACCTTAGAAGAGTAGGTCTCTTCTCATTTTGTACTTCTCTATAATGGTTGTATATTGTAACCATTTGAGATTTTTTTGTTTGTATGGTTGTATTGACTTTTATGTAAATTATTTGTCCTTTTGCTTTTTGAATATTCATCATGATTTTAGAATTCAAAAAAGCCTTTTTTATAGCATGTTTGTAATCAGGGTTTCAAATTGGAGGTTTCTAAATAGCAATACCAAATTGAATATATGATGCTCAAAATAGTCGCAAGACAGTCATAAATTACTCGGAAAATGGTCACAGATCAGAAACGAATCAGTCGTAAAATAGCAACAAATTACTATTCATTTCTCGACATCAGACGGTAAGTCACTAATTTATAGGTAAATGGCACACAAAACAGTCGTAACTTGGTTGTTATATTTAACGACTAATTAGCTACTATTCATATATTATTAATACTACTGCATGATAGTCGTAGAGTCACATATGTAGTCATATGTACTCGTAAAATAATTGCTATATTTGCCGACTATATTACGACTAATTTACGGCAATGTATATCACACAGCTTAGTCATAATTCAGTCGAAAATGAGCGACTATTTTATGACTGTTGGAATTAGCGACTGTTCTTTTCAGTTGCTAATCCGACGTAACAGGTTGAGTTACGACTGTTGTTTTCTGATATTTTCTGCTGTTGCTAAATTGGTGTTTTCTTGTAATGTTGATCAGTGCAACTTCTTCTCTCTGCCCCACAAAAAATCCCGAATTAATAGAGGAATTAAGAGCTGAAGATTTTAGATATTGTAGCTATTAGCTAAACGTTCTATTAGAATACGTAGCTCTTTAAGATTTTTATTTTTTTTATCCATTTGTGCTTTTATGGCAACTTTTTACACATTCGTTTTATAAAACATAATTTTTTAAATTTTATTTTAGTGTTTCAAGCGTGTGTGTAGTGTTTTTGATGAAGAGAATACAGTATGTATAGTTCTTTAGAAACAGTGAACAGAGAAAATGAAAGGTTATTCTTAAGTAACCAGCTCAAATTTTTATGAAAATTACGCATATACAGGATATATCCTCCCTTGTTGCTGTCGGAATCGTGCCTATGTATACAAATTAAAAACTTTGGCCTAAGTGCCTTTTTTTTAATATAATTATACTTAAATTTTTGTGATTATAATAATATTAGAGTCAAATATATAAATATAATATTTTTTAGTGGTTTTATAAAAAATAGAAATTATTATTAAAAATGAAGATATTGTAAAAATAAAATAAATAATTCATTGATCTTCTTCGCACATATCATATTCATAGCTATTTTGCCATTAATACGTTAAACTTTTCTTGACAACAAGACATTAAACTTGCACTCATTTATTTTTTAACCTAAAATTTACATTAAATTTTTAGTGTAGTTTTGTATTAAGTTGGGATAACGATGGTTATTATTTTAGTGAAAGTAAATTTTTTGTATACCGTTTAGGATCTCCACAACTCTAGGCACGGCTCTGGTTGCTGCTATTTACGATCAGTATTAGTCATGAATCTGTTCTAGCTTATTTTCTGATGAAGAAAACACAGTTCGTAGTTCTTTAGAAAGATGATAATCTGAACTTTCACATCAAATAGATTGTGTAGTTAAGTAAACCAGCCGAAATTAAATACCAAACCGGATCGATTGTATTGCATATACCGGAAACGTTCTTGTGTACGAGAAATACGAATATAACCTCTCATCTTGCTAATATTTACGACCGTACCCCTGTAATTGCTTCACTCGAAAAAACTCAAAAACCCTAATCAACATCGTCGTTGCCTGACAAATTCCTAATTCTTTTTTTTCCGAGAGCGTCGACGCCGATAGTCGCCGACAGAGTTTCTGGTTCTCACGACAGACTCATAAGATGAAGGAGACGAGAAATCTACACGAGGGTAAGTCAAGTTTCGCCGCGTTTTCTTTCTTTTCCTCTCTGATTCCGATTCTGTCATTACAATTCTGCCTAATTTCGCCAGTGGATTTTCTGTTCAATTTCTTAATTAATTAGTGAGATTCCATTGCTAAACCTGCGAATTGAGGCACACCAGCTATTGTTTATACGCTCTGTTGTGTATACTTGATTCGATTTGGAACATACCTTCAATTGCTAAAGTTTCAATCTTTTTTTATGGATTGAAGTTCGCATTTTCGCTTAATTGAAGCTCCTTTTTTGTTTGTTAATCCTTGTTTCAGCTGAAGTGGTTGATAGAAAGAGAGTTGGAAAAATGCAGAAGAAGAAGAAAGAGAAAGTGAGCAATGTTGACTCAAGCGAGGCTCAGGCTACGCTCCAAGGTCAGAGTTTTGGTTTGGTGGATTGATTCAGTATGTGTTATAAGATGTTTTCTGTTATTGAGTTTAGTATCTTTTGATTTTGTTTCCTTCCAGCTATTTTAAGTGAGAAAACCAAAGGAAAGAAGGTCGAATTGAAGAAGAAGAAGATACAGAAGAGTAAAAGGAAGTCAGAGGAAACAAATAGCTCTCCAGTTGATGGTAAGCTGCAGAAGAAGAGGAAAGCTAAAGCAGGCAACGTTGAAATAGTTGACCATTCTCAAATTACGCCGGAAGGTGAACATTTTTTTTTTTTGGGCAGATTCGAGAATTCATGCTATTAGATTCTGGTGTTGAGTAGTATCCTTGGGTTCTTGTTATAGCTAATTCAAATGAGAAAATCAAAGGAAAGAAGCGGAAGTTGAACAAGACGAAGAATAAAAAGAAGGCCGAGGATAAATCTAGTGGCCATGTTGATGATGACGATGATCATCTGAGACAAGAAGGTGTGTGAGTTCATTACCAGATTAGTTATATGTTGCGTTCATTTTTCATTTGTGTTGGTCTGCACTAGGAACTTTAGCTAGTTTCATGTTGTCATATGAATATATGATATGTTCTTTTAGCAGTATGTGAACTTTACTATCATTCGAAATCTGTCATATGGTGTTAATCCGAGGTTGTCGTGACTCTTCTCAATGTTTGTCAGTTGATAAAGACAAAAGTTTCAGTGAAGCTGTGAATGCTGGCATTGCTGATAATGGAACTGAAATAAGAAACCGTAAGTTCAAAGCTTTCCTCCTGTGAATTACGTGATAGATTTTGTAGTTTTGGTGCGGTCACTGTTTGTTTGGCCACCATGTATAACAGAGCAACGCGTTTTCTCTAGGCAAGTCCAAGAAATCAAACAAGAAAAAGAAGTTGAATTCGACCTCTACAAAACAGAATGAAAAGTCTTCAGAAAAGATGAACGAAATTGGAGAGCAGGAGGAGGATGTTTATCAAATTTCTTCAGGCGATGAGGATTGCTCCAGAGGAATGAAAAGTATGTATGCACAATACATAAATAATTGTCGTTAGTTCCATTATTAGCTGCCTATGACTAGATAGCCATTATTCGTTCCATTGAATCTGTTTCTGCCATAAGTTTGATAAGTTCTCTGTGAAATTGCAGAGTGGGTTAGTGATTACTATGAGAGTAGACCCAGTTTAGACGAGCTGCAAAAGAGAATCGATGACTTCATGACTACTCACGAAGAACGCCTTGAACAGGTTCTTTATCTTTCCTACATTTTAAAGCATTAATGTTTATTGTTTAGGGGTTACAGCGTTTTTTACCAGTCCGTTTGTCATATGTATTGAACAGGAGAAACAAGACCGAGAAGCTAAAGCTGCAGAAGGTGGATGGACTGTGGTCGTGCATCACAAAGGAAGGAAAAAGTCAACAGAGTTCGAATCTGGAACAGCCGTTGGATCTGTTTCTCAAGCTGCTTTGGAGAATAAGATTGCTAAGAAGAAACAGAGTGAGACCGTCGCTCATGGTTTCTACCGTTTCCAAAGGCGAGAAGCACAACGCAATGGTAAGCTTTGTCTTTTTTTTTTATATATATATTCAAAGCTTCAAACTTTATAACCTGTGATGCCACAAGTAGTCCTGAGCATGTTCTTTTGCCGGTTTGGTTTGTGTTTTCTTGTTGAGTTTTAGGAAACGGGTCCGGACCAAAACAGAGTTTTATTTTTTGGGTATAATATTCTGATTCTGATGATTGTTTCTTGGTTTGTGTTATCTTGTTGGTTGATAGAACTCTTGGAGCTTCAGAGTAAGTTCGAGCAAGACAAGAAGAGGATACAACAACTTAGAGCTGCTCGTAAGTTTAAGCCTTACTAAGAAAGAACAGATCCCACATGGAAACACCATGAGCTTTATTATGGGTTTAGACTCTCATGAAAGCTGATGAGCAGGATCATGAATGTGTTTTATGATCAGTTTTTGTAACTGACAATTTTAGGCCAATTAAACAGAAATGTGTTTTTCCCTTATGTTTAGATTAGATCATCCTTTTGAAATCTCATACTAATAAAAGTTGAAGCTATATGCTTCTCAAGACGTCTACATAGGATTTTAAATGGATTTTAAAATGCAATTCTATTGGTCCACATCAATTTTAGAAAGTTTACAATTTCTAATATTATTGTTAAATAAAGAAATTAAGAAAGTTTACAAATTCTAATATTATTGCTGAATAAAGAAATTTTGTATAAATTTTTATTGGTTCACCTCAACATTGAAAATTAGAACGTTTCCAAATTCTATTATTGTTTAAAAAAAATATTGAAAATAAAGAAATTATATGTATAATTTTATATTAAAAGAAATTTTGTATAAATTTTTATTGGTTCACCTCAATATTGAAAATTAGAACGTTTCCAAATAATTTTATTGTTTAAAAAAAATTATTAAAGATAAAGAAATTATATGTATAATTTTATATTAATAATAAAAACTAAAATAAAAATATTAAATTAAGAAATTTTAAATTTAAATTAGATGTATACACACATATTTAGAGACTCTTACATTAGCATCCAAACTTTTTGTCACATATAACAATTTTGAAAAAAAAATTTCTGTGTGTGCAACCATATAAAACAAAAATAGAGTTAAATTTAATATTGAAAAAAAGACCGTAAAATCTCTAAAGCTTGGCCACCAAATTTGAGAAGAATGATAAATTTCAAGCAATCCGAAAAACATGTCAAGTAAACCACAAAGATAACAATTAGCTGACCAAGCAGCATCTGAATACATTCGGTAAACCTCAAAACAAGGAGGCTTCTAAATCCTATTACTAAGAAAAGTTAAAGCTATATGCCTCTAAGAATATCCACATAGAGTTTAAAAGTTCAATTCTATTGGTCCACATCAATATTTATAATTAATTTTTTTTTAAATTCTATTGTTAACAAAAAATTATATTTATAGAAAAATAAAAGTTGAAGCTATATGCATCTAATGACATCCACATAAGATTTAAAAGGTTAATTTTATTAGTTTACATCAATAACTAAAATTAAAAAAAATTCTAAATTATAAAATTACATTGTTAATACAAAACAATATAAGAAAAAATTGTTTACATTTAAAGGTATATTATTTTCAATATTAAAGTAGGAAAATAGGAAAATCTTGAATTGAAATTAGATGTATGCACATATATTTAGGGGCTCTTACATTAGCAATCAAATTTTTGTCACATACTATAATAAAATTTAAGTTTTTTTTCCTTTGTGTGCAACCATTTTAATTAAAAAAAAAACAAAAATATAGAGTTAGGTTGCACTAAAGAATGAGTTATTACAACGTAAAATAACAAATTTGATTAAACTATCTGTTTAAATATTTGCTAAATTACAAAGAATATGATGAATGGATATATAAACAAAACCACTACAAGCTGCTTTAATATTCCAAAAGAGACCATCAAATCTCTAAAGTTAATCATCGAATTTGAGAAGAATGATAAATTTCAAGCAATCTGAGAAACATGTAAAGTGATTGATATTCGACACTTTTAAAAAATGAAGCACTGAAAATAGAGTAAAAGGTTCCGTCATTAAGGCGAAGGAGACTGAGGTATCCGAAAAAAAATTTTGGAATAACATTGCATCTAACGAGATTTTAACAACCCAACCTGAACTACAAAAGTAACAATTAGCTGACCAAGCAATGTCCGAATACATTAGGTAAGTTTCAAAACAAGTGGAAAGACTAATATCACTTACCGCAACGGGCCTCGTGTGGGATATTCCAGCTTTGATTTCTAAATCTATTACTAATAAAAGTTAAAGTTATATGTCTCTAAAAATGTCCACATAGGATTTAAAATTTTAATTTTATTGGTCCACATCAATATTTAAAATTTAAAAAATTCCACATTTTAAAATTATATTGTTAACAAAAAATATATTTATAGAAAAAAATTTAAAATAATATTGTTAACAAATTTTTCTATTATTAATAACAGTTAAAGTTATATTATTCTCAAAACATCCACATCAACATTTAAAAATTCAATTTTATTCGTATATATCAAAATTTTAAATGAAAAAAAAAGTTTCTTAATTCTAATATTATTGTTAAGAATATAATTAAAAACTAAAGAAATTTCTATTAACAAAAAACAACCTGATATTAAAATCTTCAATATCACTGTTTAAGTTACAAATTTAATTTTTTGTCTATAATAAAAATATATCCTACTTATAAAAGATTAAGTTATTTGATTTTAAAAAATTTCACGTAAAATTTTAAATAACTAATAACTATGATTTATATTCATCTAAATTTTTGTTACATATGCAAAACATATTTCACATAACCTCATGTAATATATTATGCAAAAATAATAAAAAAATACATTTTGTATATTCGATTTGGAATTGCAATAGATTAATAGAAAGTTTTAGTTTTTAGTTTTTCACTTTGTTATTAATTTTTCTATATTTGTATGTATTAAATTGTACCGATTTTCCTACTTAATTATAATTAGAAAAAGTGAGAATGAATATAATGAAACTGAATATAATACAAAAATCATTAAAATATATAAATAAGATTGAAAAAACATATATAACAAGAATAAAAATGAACATGATAAAAAAATTTCATTTTTATTAGAAGAGATGATGTATAATCATTAAAAAATTATTTAAAATTTAACACAACCAATTGACAAAATTATATTTAATTCACATATTTTGTGTGATTTTATTCATATCATATTCAACTATTATTTTGGTTTCAAAAATAAAGTTGTTATTAATCTCAAAGTAAATGTTATATTTATTAGTTTCTTTTCATATTAATAAATCAAAATAAAATTTTTGTATTGGTGAAACAAGAGCAGAAAAAACAAATTAAATTTTTTTAAATAACACATATAATTAAAATAAAAATAAAAATGATAAAAAACCATTTTTTCTTCTTAATTTAAAGAAGTAAGTGTATAATATTATGTCAATACTATATTTACAAAGTAGCATTTGATTAATTTGTAAAAAATTTAGTTAGTTTGAATATATTAATTTATAAGTGTTTGATAAAATAACACATTTTTAAAATATGACATGTATAGATTCAAAACAAAATCGTTAAAATATCACAATTTACATTAAAATTATTATATTAACATCATAATATTTTTAATATATTATCAAAATACTAATATAAAAAATTTATATCATAATAAATATAATTAATTATATATAATTTTTTACCAACAAAATACCCACGCGTAGCGTGGATGCAAAATCTAGTTGAATTAAAAAGAAATATCAAGTGTTAAAATAATCTTAAAAGAAAACTAAATTAGATGGAATTTATGAAATTAAATCCCACAAAAAAGGAAATTATGAAATCTTCCGGATCTCTACCACCACCAAAATAAAAGGAAACTCGGTTTCTTTCCTTTATTTAATCGACAAAGGAAGCTCGCAATATATATATACAATGTTTAAGACTCTATCCATGGGTTTCAAAATTGTCCATGATGATGAAGAAGAAGTGTACAGAGGCAAATAACCAAACTTATTCCGACCTTCCTTTTGATCTCACTTTACTAATTTTGGAGCGCCTGTGTTTGAAAGACAACATTCGTGCTTCCATTGTTTGCAAAACATGGCAAGAAGCTTGTGTTTCCGTTCGTGTTAAGGAGTACCCAACACCATTGCTTATGCGTTCCCCTTGTAGAGAAGAATACGAGCTATACGATCCATCACTCAATAAAACACATATTTGTAAGTCATCCCCTGTGTTACGCAGTTCACACATTCATTGTTCTACAGACGGTTGGTTACTTGTGCGCCATAGCAATCTCAGAGATACCTTCTTTTTAAATCCGTTTACGCATGAACGCATTGGACTGCCTTGGCCTGATATGGGGAGTAGTCTTGCACTAGCTTCCTCATGTGCTCCTACGTCGAACAGTTGTGTAATATTCTCTGTCTCCGATTTCACCGAGGGATCCATCACCATCAAAACATACTGTCTTGCTACTGAAGTGTGCACTTCTTTCAAGTTCCCGCATCGTTTGCCTTGGATATATGGAGGTTTCGAACATGTTGTTTTCTCCAATGGAGTCTTCTATTTACTAGCCAGAAGAGGTTGGTTAGGGATGCTTGATCTCTCTACGAATTCTTGGGATCTTCTTCGTCGGCCGCCTCCTAAAATTCCTGGAAAATACTATCGGTTTATGACTGAGTATCATGGCGATATCTTCCTTATATATACGGACATGAATGAACTCCAACAACCGAGATGTCTTAAACTAAATCTTACAAAGCGGAAGTGGGAGGATGAGAAAATGTGGGGAGGTTTAACGTTTTACTTAAGCTTCGTGTCTACTTTGACAATGAAGAGGGACTTAGTGCATACCCACAAAGTGCATCAATGTACCGGGTATAATATCTGGATAAAACCACCCATAAATGTCTCATACTTGTTCACATCTTAGTGAATTTCATTATTCGTATTTACTTTGTTTCTGCTTTTCTTGGATATTTGTACAATGTGTTTTGGTTTAAACCTCTTTGTTTATTGTTTTATTATTTATTGACAACCTATTTACTTAGGTTCTTAATGACCACTTGTTGATACTATTTTCACCGTTTTGGTTTCATTCTAAAAATGCCAATAAGGCCAACTTGGATAATGAGTAACTAAATTTATTGAATGTGTTTACTCAAATAAAGAGACCTTAAAGCTACATACTCAGTTGCCAAACCTGATATTCATATAATATATATGTTATAATCATGATATTGTTAGACTAACACTCAAAATCTTAGGAACTTCATAGTTCATAGCTATTTATAGATCTGATGGCCTCCCATTTGTTTAAATAACTCACCTAGCTACCTTTTTGGCTTTCATTTTGAAATCAAATGATCAGTCACTCAAATTGAATGAGCAATTGACACTTTGATAATGAGTACTTAAACCTATTGATTTGTTGACTCAACTCCAGAGAAAAAACAAAAAGACCTTCAAACATGAATCATGAATGCAACTCCATTAATTACCAATCTTTTTGATCCAATGTCA